ATGTGAATTTTCAGAGAAAAAAGAATTAATATAAAAAGTCTAAATACAAATCGAAGGAAAAGTGTAATCAATTAGAGAACAGAAATAAAGTCTTTTTAAATAGGACAGTTGTAAAATCAGTGTTTTTTGATCATCGAGTGCAAGTCGAGTTTCCGTAATAGCCAGATCTAATTGATGTCGTACAGCTGATTCGAAATCCATGGTATCATCATTTTCTTGATCACTGTGAGTATTAATTACAGTTATAAATTTTTATTTTTTGAATATTTAGAATTTGTTTTTGCCTTCTTTTTTTTCATGGTTGTTGTTTTTTTCGTTTTGTTTGAAGACTTTTCTTGAATCATTTTGATTAAATTTTCATCAGTTATATTGACGCCAATAGTATTGTTCAATCGTGATGCTCTATATGTAGTTGCGGATATAGTTGTGGTCTGGTGTTGTTGTTGTTGTTCTTCTTCCAATAGACTTACAAGAACTTCATGTACTGCATGAATAGTTTCAATAATAGGCTTTTTGTTTTGTTTTTGTTCATTTTGTTTTAAAGAAGATTGAGATAATCTTACAAAGTATTAATTGTCTGCTACCTTTCAACGACATTGGCATGAATTGACTATTCTGCTGCGTTGTTGGTTGTAGATTAAAATTTCATTGTGGTTCAAACGTTGATGAATTTAAATCAACCATATTCAATGGAGTATATGTGGAATCATTTGATGGAATTTCGTGATCATCGGTAAATACCTGTTGAATTGGTTGAATACGCCGGACATCATATAACATTTGTTGTTCTTTTTCACTTGTATCATCGATAATCATCATACCAGAATTTAATGATTCATTAATTGATTGAACATTTGATGTAATGGCCGGCTTCTGTAATGGCAGTGTGGTGCATGATGATTGAACTATTGAAGAACCTGAACATGGTATAAGAATATTTGTTGGCGGTGGTACTATTTGGTTAATAGTTTTTGGATTAAAAGATGGAAAAAATCCAAGGGCTACTACTGATTGCATTATAGCATTTTCATTGAACGGCCATATGCCTATGAGATATAAAAAAGAATTTAACAATTATCGTAGAAGATATCATATATCATTTTTATAAAATTAGTTAAATAGAATTATTTTATTGCTTATGATATTCATGTTGTCATATAAGATATAGACATATTAATGGACATGAATAACAGAATATATTTATTTTATTGTGAACCTATACTTGAGAACTTCCTATTATCAGTTTTAAGCTCACCTGAACGAGAAAACGAGGATACTATTCGTGTACTTGAAAAAGATTGTTTTGCAATAAGTAACTGCTTCATCAAATGTGGAATATCAGCATTTTTGATGAATTTGTTTCCACTTTTCAAATAGTTTGTTACAATATTTGACCAATCGGTTTTAACGTTGTTAAATACAACAACATCAATCGGTTGTAAAGTGTGTGTACAATGAGGAGGAAGAATTAAGCAAACAATCTTGTGTTGTTTCATCAATTGTATAATATTTATATTCATATGTGCATTATGACCATCCATAACAAGTAACAGAGGTCGATTGAGATGTTGAGTAGCGGGAATAAACATTTCTCGAAGCAAATATTCAAATGAACATGAATTAATCCAACCCTAGCGTAGATGAAACAGATAAAAAACGTTACATAAAATATTTAATTACTTTTTTTGTTACAGCATAACGTGATCCATCAGGTCCACCTTTGCACCACGTATTCATTAAAACTTTACCAGAATAAATAATAAAAGGAGAGATTACTTGACCAGCTGCACTAATTTCAATTAATGCAGTAGTATATTGTTTACCACTACCACCATGTTTTCCGAATACATATCCAGTACTTGATGTTACAATGACGTGCTTACCTAAAAATATATAAATATTAAAGACGATATTTTTCTTAATGAACCTACGTTGAGTTTTATCAGAAAATCTAGTTTCATCACAATTATATATTTCTGCTGGTTTATTCATGAGATCAAGTTTAATTTATGTCGACTTTTAAAGAGCAAACCAAGATTTTCTTCTTTCTTGTGTAAATTCTTTTGCTCGAATTTGTTCAAGTTTTTGTTGTTTTCTCCATTTGATTTCCGTCTTGTGGCGGCTAACAAACGACATTAACCATTTACGACCTGGTTTAAACGATAATCCAATAGACTTAAAATATTCATTCGAAAGTTTAAATGCAACATCAGCAGTAATTGTGAATCCATATTCGGGCAATAATTTAAATATTGATAAAAGAAAATCTTCTTGTTCCTTGTTCAAACAACGATAACGACCATCACCAAATTTTTGCGAAGGATTTTGTCGACGTGAACGTATTGTTCTTTCACGTACTTTAAAGTGTTTTGAACCTTCAATTTAACTTATATCACTGTTAATAGCATCAACTAACTTCTATACAGGATATTTCATTATCAAAACCAAATAAAAACGAACATACAAAGAATAATACGCAAACAAATTTTCAAAATAGTCTAAGAAAGAAGAAATTATTCATACTGTCAAAATATGTACAGCTAACATTGAGTCATAAATTATTGCTGCGTCTCACAGAAAGAAAGAACTTACTTAGTAAGAGAGGTAGTTAACTAACAACACTGAGAAGATTCAGTCAATTTCTACAGAAATAAAATAAATCTATTATAGTTACAGTGTTCTAGTAGGTTTTTTTATTTTGTTATTCTTCTACAACGATTTAATGTGTATGACCTTATTTATTGTGTATGACCATTCTCGTACATATCGAGGTTAATCCTATTTTTTGCTTTCTTTCTCTTTCCTCCTCTCTCTTTAATAAGAATCAGTTAATTCTTACTAGTCGATAGTCATTGTATTGCGCAGTCGGATAAGAATGAAGATGCACATACCGTCCGTTTTGCTGAATAATATCTTATATACAAGATGAACATCAGACATTGTCTTCTCTATATTGTCATATAAATAAATAATGTTTTTTTCCT